TGCGGGTGGAGGGTGAGGAGGCGCGCTGGCCTTTGGGGACCAACAGCCCCGTCCCCGGTCGCTGCGGCGCCCCCAACGCTGTCGCCAGGACGGCGCGCAGCGGGGACAACCGGGCACTCACCGCGACGCGCTGCCCGCGGGGCTCCGGGCTCGCCTGGAGCGGCTGGACGCGGCGCTCTGGACCTGCGGCGGGAGGGAGGCGGTTCCGGTGGCTCTGTCGCGGGCTCGGTGCCTCGCGGTATTTATCGCGGGCTCCACGCGCCTCGAGGCCCACGTGACGCCCTCCCCACGCGACCTTCTGCTCAATATTTAATTAGCCGCCCCCTCTCCGCTCGCCTGCGTGATGGAGAGTTTCCGAGACGGCAGCTCGTCGATGCCCACAACATCTGGACCCGATTGGGCTCGAAATGACGCAATTTTAGGGAAGTCGAGGCCTCGCCATCCAATCCGGAGCGCCCTGCTTCCGTCTGCAGAGCTGACGCCCCCTCCCCTCTCCTTCCCAACTGGGTTTCATGACACCTGAGATTACTCATCAACATTGAGCAAAGTGACTCATTCCTTGGACTTCGGCAACTTTTCCGGCCCTCAAGACGTCAGGAAAAGTTGCACTTTTGAGGACGGTCAAACACCTCCGCTCCTTAAGACGTTTCATCGTGGTCAGGTTGAGAAAGGGGCATTTCAGTTGAGGAGGGGGCAGGTTTTTTTTTTTCATCTTCCATTTCCAGCTTCACGGGATCTTAAGAGCTTCTGAGATACGGCATCTTTCTATGATCAGAACATTCCTCTGCAAAATCAACGAGAAAACGGGCATTTCTTCAGCATTTCTGTATATATGTATATATACTATTTGAGCGGGGTCTAACTTTGTCGCCCAGGCTGGAGTGCAGTGGCATGATTACAGTAGCTGGGCTCAGGTGATCCTTCCACCTTAGCCTCCTGAGTAGCTGTGACTACAGGTGCATACCATCATGCTCTGCTAGTTTTGTTTTTTTGTTTGGCTTTTTTTGTAGAGATGAGGTCTCTCTAGGTTATCCAAGCAGGACTTGAACTCCTGGGCTCAAGCAATACCCTCTTCTTGGTCTCCCAAAGTGCGTGGATTACAGGCGTGCAACACCATACTTGACTGCAAAATAATTTTTAATCTCATAGTATTTCAGAAGTTAGAAACAGGTTTATTTTGCATTTTGGAAAAAGAAGGACATAAATGTGGCATAGGGACTAGAACTCACCCCCCAAGAAATGCCATTTGGGGATATCTTTTGGTTCAAGCTAGCTAATTCCTATTCCTTACAACATCCAGGAGTAGGGGCTTTTGCTCCTACCCTAACCTTAACTCTAACCCTAACTCTAACTTAATCTTAACCCTAACCTTAACTCTAACCCTAACCCTAACCTTAACATTAACCCTAGCCCTAGACCTAGCCTAAGTCCTAACCCTGACTTTAACCCTAGTCCTAACCCGAACCCTAACCTAACCCTAACACTTTGGTATACTGCAGTAACTTATTCTAATTTGCTATATTTTATTTCACAAACATTTATGTTGAAATACTGAAGCATTTGTAAAGAGAAAATTTCTAAAATTTACTCATTTCAGTACAAGTCTACATTCGATAATTGATTTTGAAAGCTGTTGACTTCTGATAACTACTGGTAATCAGTCAACCTCAACATGTTATAAATATGAGCTGCAAATATTCCATCCCCTTTCAGATGGTATTTACTAAGCATTTTACTACCACTTGCCTTTTTTGAGACGTTCACGTTTAGGGGATATAGAACTGCATTCTCCTACCATTCCTTGCAGAAGACTAGGAACCCAGTGACAAGGAAAGAGGGTCTGTACATGTTTAGAACAGACATGATACTCTTCTGAGTATTTTAAACTGATGGTTGATTGACTCTACCAGTACGGAACCCACAGATAAGGAAGGGTGACTTTATTTCAGTCCACAATAGGCATTCTTATAATTGATGCTCAGATTATCTATCTCATGCTTGGTCATTAGCTGACTCTTCAAATTGGCTCTGAAATTTTCATCATGACTTCAGTAGGCTTTGATGGCTTTTTTTTTGGTTTTTGGTATAGCAAAATGTTTCAGGTCTGAGTTGCTTATTTCCTGTTTACACCTGGAATCTCCCTTTAGGAGGCCCTAATTTTCTTTGAAATAGAAATGATAATTGGAGCTCACAAACTGGGTGTTATGAGTGCACATTGTTATCGAGTTCTTCATTGCTTCAATACTCTTTCAATGGATAGAGCTGAGAAATTGTGTGTGTGTGTGTGTGTGTGTGTAAAGTCATGAATGTATGCTGACTTTCTGTTCAAATCAGATGTCATAGAGTTTTTACTTATCCAAATCTATTTTGTATCTTTTTTTCTATATCTCAAATCACAATTCCATCCCAGTGATATCAGCATGATTACTCATTTGCTTTATCCCAATACACAATACCTACATGATCAAGGATATCATTATTGGAAATAGATTAAGAGTTTTTGTTTGCAGTTTTGTTCTCTTTGTAATCTTTAGGGCATATCACAATAGGTATGCTCAGTCATCACTCTGTTATAAAGTCACTTTAAAGGTTTTTCTTTGTGTGGTTATGCTATCAACTCCTAGACAGGTAGGTTCATTTTGTTCTTGAGTTATAGGGACTGCTTTTAAAACTAAATTTCAGAATTGTGTAAAATGCATGGTTCCAAACTCAATATTAAAAGCATAATATATTCAAGAAAGTGTGGCTTCAATCCCTGTTTCTCCATCCTCTCCCCTCTAATTATCACTCCTTTTTAAGGTTTTGGTTTATCCTTCTGTTGTTATTGTTATTACTTTAAAATAAAAATTTGTAATGATACCCCTTTTCATCTTGTAAAACTCTATACCTAAAGTGGGGCATTTTAGATTAATTTTTTTGTTTCTTAGTTGCTGATATCGTTTATGAGGTAACAAAAAATTCCCCTATTTCATGATTTCTAAACTATTAGCTCAATATAACCAGCTGTATAATTTTATTCAGATGCCATATAATATAAATGTTCTATGAAATAACCTTTATTTTATGTATTTATGTTTGAAACATATGAAAATATACATATTAAGAAAGTATTTCTAAGCATGCTAAATTCATTAGTAGAATGATAAACAAAGTAAATAGGTAATACCTCATTGTTTATGCTTACAAATTAAAAACTTTCAGAAAAGTACAAAAAATTACCATTGTCCATTTTCTTATCACTCAAAAGGAAACACTGTTAATATCTTTATATGCTGCCTACAGTGTTTTGAAGAAAAAAGTCACCTGGTTGCTTTTGTAAAATAAGACATACTCTTTATAAGTACCCCAAACTCAGAAATAGCTAGCCATCGCATTAAATGGACATCATTGTGAATATCTTTGAATGCATATGTTACAATTAGGAGAATAGAGCAATAGACAGGTGAATGGACGTTATGAAAATAGTATGCAACCCTAGCAAGTATTTTTAATGAAAGCTAGTTATTTCTATTTTATTTGACTTTAGTGGAAGAAAAAGAAAATTAAAGTAAAATTGTTTTTCACCACAAGATATTTTTTTCAGAACGGCTAATGTTAAAAAGCAAGGTTTAGGGATAAGCATGAAGAAACTACTATGTAACATAAAAAAAAGATATTTACAGAATATCTACTAATTCCCTACTTTGAAATATGAGGATATTCACATTCTCACTCACCCCATCTCCCATCCCCCCAAGTCTTGCAGTTACATAATTACTTTTACATTGTTC